GATCTCGCGGTCCGGGAGTTCGAGCCCCGCGTCGGGCTCTGGGCTGATGGCTCAGAGCCTGGAGCCTGTTTCCGATTCTGTGTCTCCCTCTCTCTCTGCCCCTCCCCCGTTCATGCTCTGTCTCTCTCTGTCCCAAAAATAAATAAATGTTGAAAAAAAAAATTAAAAAAAAAAAAAAAAAAAAAAAAAAAAAAAAAAAAAAAAGAAAAAAAATCTCCCAGTTTGTGGCCTACCTTGGTGAATGTTCCATGTGCATTTTGAAATAAATGTGTACTCTGCCATGGTTTGATGTAATTCTAAATACCAATTAGGTCAGATTGGTTGATAATATTGTTCAAGTCCTCTTTATCATTACTGATTTTTAAAATCTACCCATTTATCAAATACTGAGAAGGAAATGTTGAAATCCAGCTATAATTGTGGATTTGTCTATTTCTCTTTTCCATCTTGTCAGTTTTTAGTTCATGTAATTTTAAGCTTTGTTGCTGTATCTTCTTGATGAATTGATTTATATTATGAAGTGTCCCTCTTTATCTCTTGTCCTGAAGATGGGCCAAATTCCTTTTCCTGAACTCAACTTTATCTGGTATTAGTGTAGATATTCCAGCTTTATTCTGTTTGTATATCTTTTTCCATCATTTTACTTTGAACTTATCTGTGTCTTTATGTTGATGATGCCTTTTTTCTTCTGTAGTCAGTAGTAAATAATTAGGCCTTGCTTTTGTATTTATTTTTAATCATAGTGTTTAGACCATTTACAATTAATTTAATTTTTGATATATTGTTTTCTATTTGTCCAATCTACATTTTGTTTATTTTTCTTTTTGTCTTCTTTTGGACTAATTTGTGGTATTCCATTTTTTAAAAAATTAAAAAAAAATTTTTTTTAACGTTTATTCATTTTTGGAGACAAAGAAAGACAGAGCATGAGTGGGGAAGGGGCAGAGAGAGGGAGACACAGAACCTGAAGCAGGCTCCAGGCTCCTAGCTGTCAGCACAGAACCTGACATGGGGCTCAAACTCATGAACCATGAGATCATGATCTGAGCTGAAGTTGGACGCTCAACCAACTGAGCCACCCAGGCGCCCCTGTGGTATTCCATTTTAATTTCTCTGCTGGCTACTTAGCTATGCTTATTTGTTTTATTATTTTAGCTTTTGTTCTAAGTTTTACCATATGAATCTTTAATTTATCACAATCTACCTCCAAGTACTATCATACTACAACACATATAATGTAAGATATACAGTGGAACCTTGAACAATGCAGGGTTAGAGGTGACAACCCCCTTCTTCTCTGGTACTCTGTTAAATAATTTCCACAAATTGGGTCTTTTTGTTAACCATAGTATCTTTTGCAACTCATATAGTACCTTTCTCTCATGTGGTAGGTGCTCAATAAAATATTTTTATGAGAACATGGAGTTATACATTGTATTCTTTTATATTTAAAATTCCCTTTGGGGACATCTGGCTGGCTCAGTCAGCAGAGCATGTGACTCTTGATCTCTGGGTTGTGAGTTCAAGCCCGACATTGGGAGTAGAGCTTACTTAAAATAAAATTCCCTTTGAATCTGAGTTTAATTCCTTTTTCCTCCCTAACATCTTCTCTCTGGTTTAAAAATCTTTGCTATTTTTATTTTGCCGTATTTATTTTATTGATCATTGCGAAGAACCAGCCCTTTCCTTTTTTGATCTGTTTTGTGTTTCTGGATTTAATTCTAAAACTCAGTAAGCTAACCTATAAAATTATAATGGCAATTTACTATTTAGGTACTAAAGTTAAATTCTGCTACTTATACTGTAATATCTTTTTTATGATATTACATAAATATCATGGTAATCTGGTGGAGGCCAATAAGACCAATGCTGTACTTCTCTGGGGAATTAGAGTTCTGTCTTTAAGAGAGTGATGACTCATACTATCAGTCAGGATGTACAGGTAATCAGAATTGTGAGAAGGGCCCTTATATAGGCCATGCTTTTCCATTAGTGGGAAGGGGGCACAATTTTGCCCCCCAAGGGCTTTTGGTAATGTCTACAGATTTAGGTTGTTACAACTAGGAATGGAATACCATTGGCATGTAGTTGGTACTAGCCAGAGATGCTGCTAAACATCCCACAATGCACAGGTCAGCTTCCCGTAACAAAGAATTACCTGGCTCAAAATGTCAACAGTGCCAAGACTGAATGCCCTTAACTAGGCAAGCAAGAAAACTATCCTTTGTCCTCTGTGCTCAGGCCTGAACTGAAGAGTGAACTGTCTAGGAGCTATTCCTTGGTTAAGATCAGTTTAAGAGTGGCCTCTGCCACAGGGAGGTGACATCTCTGTAGCAAAACAAAACAATGCTGAAGACTACCCTTATTTTATGTTTCTTCTTTTTCTTTGTCGTCCTTTTTTTTTTTTTTTTTTTTTTTTAAGTAGGCCTTCACGCCCAGGATGGAGCCCAACATGGGACTTGAACTCACAATCTTGAGATCAAGACCTGAGCTCAGATCAAGAGTTGGACGCTTAACCCACTGAGCCATTCAGGTTCCCCTTATTTTATGTTTCTAATACTCAGTTTTTTCTATTAGAAAAGTATTTTTAAATATATATCTAAACAAATACCCTAAATAAATTATAAATCTATAAATCAAAATAAATACCCTAAACCATTTATAATGTTCAAGATGAAGTTGGACTGCTAAAGATTCAAATTTAGTCTCTTCTCAGCTATGTAGCAAAGTATTAAGAAAAAGTTACATCCTTCTACTTTGAGGTCAGGTGGTCGTGACAGCAAGGAGTGAAGAATTCCAAGGACAAAATGAATTCTCAGAAAATACGGCTGCAAATCCATCCACTCTTCCCAATAGTAGAATCTCCAAGTATCAAACCTGGAAGGTCTGGGATTATTCACTTAAGAGTGGTATATAATCAGTCACACAGAGTCTCTCAAACTGCAGGCTGAAAATGCAAAACTCCTGATAACAATGTCAAGTGTCTATAGTATTTTTTTCTGTTTAAGTAGTTTTGAAGTGTGTATAATTGGTAAAGGGCTCAAATTGACAAACTTCACGCAAGAAATTTCTCACTTCACTAACTTACTCATCATTTGCTGAATAACAATGAGCTTTCCGTCAGTAGTCAAGAGCTGACAATCTGGCTGGTAAGACACAACACATAATTACAAAACTTAAACAGTGAAAATAAGTTTCAAAGACCAAATGAGCAATACCCCCCAAAGTGTACTAGTTTTAGAATAAAGCAAAGAACATTCTAAGCCAAAGGAATCAGGAAAACCTTCACAGAGATAAAACTTTTGAAATATGAATAGGATTTGGAAAAACAAACAAGAAAAGGGATTTCTGATAGTTTAGCGAGAGCTAAACTGAAAAGGTCTGAATATAAAAGAGCAAGGGTCTTAGGGTGCAAAGATACTTTTTTTTTTTTTTTTTACTCATCCTTTGAAATTACCTGATTATCCACAGCTTTGAATTCTTCAACTGCTTTGTCTTACATCTTCAGCTTCTCTCCTTTGAATGGGACAGGTAGAGTAAATGAGAGGAATATATTCCAAGGCCCTCTAACAGTTTGGGAAATGATTAATTTTCGTGATAACAACCTCACAAATAAACAATTCGAATCTGAAAATTTCTCTAGCAGGAAACTGAATAAATGTAATTGGCATACACATTCAAGCAGACGGGTAAACTTTTTTCCCTGGCTAACATAGCTTGGCATATTAGTGACTGGATAGTTTTTCTACTGCAACAGAAATTACTATATATTAAGGCTTTTGCAAATTCCTGTTAATTCTGGGCACACTCGGGTTCTACCTCTAATTTCTTCTGAGTACATTTTCATGTAATCTAATAGAATAAGCAGTTTATCCCCTTTCCTAGAACTCTGGAGTGCTCTACCATTCCTCTCACTCTATTTAAATCCTGCCGTGTCCTCCTCTCCATAGCCCCTGACTTTACGAACGACATAACCATTTGCTCAAACAGAAAAAAATACAGTCTTGTTTTTGCAAAACAACACAACTTTTCACAAAAAGCAGAGTTCGCACATTTGGGCCTTTTGTGTTTGTTAATGTATGATAGGTTTCCTCTGAAGAATTCACAGTAATCCAGAGAAGATTCTTTAAGGTTGAGTGGTCCCGTCTAATAATGTTTTCCTTAAATAGTGTGCCGAAGACAACTACGTGCACTCAGTAATATTTACCGACATGCAGGCACTAAGACATAACTAGGGCACAATGGGTTTTATTCTCGCTAGAGAGGGCGTCTGGTGAAGACTCCCCATTCAATACCCCTGAGTGGCCCGCATGGGATCTGCTCTACTTTCTGGACCTGGGGCATTAGCCAAACGAGCCCAGGGCACCAGAGTCCCGTGGATACCCTCACTTGGCCTAAGGGGTGTCCTCTGTGCCAAGGCGGCAGGCGGCCTCGAACTCCCACCTGCTCACTGCCAAACACGCGCCAGCCACGACGGAAGGCGGCAATACCCCAAGCGACCGGGAGCTCGTCCCCAAGCGCATCTCGCGACGGGCGGCCTCTCGGCGGCGCCTCACGCCCCACCCCCTCCAGTCCTTATCGCTGTCCCAACTCGCGGGGTCCAGAGAGTCCGGAGGAGGCAGGGGGTACAGCCGACACCACAACCTCCCAGCTGCAAGCCAAGAGAACTCGCTTCCACCTCCAAGTCCGGGGAATCCCCAACGACGTCGACTACAACGCCGAGCTCTCCATCCCAGCCTTCCGAAGACTTCACAGCCCCTCACCAGGCACCCGTTGAAGGCGGCTCTTCGGCCCTCTCGCGAGAGAGTGCCTGGTGGTACCTCCTTCCTCAGCTGTCTTTCTCTCCCCGCCCCCAAAGTGATTGCGCGGCTTCCTCCGGAGGGCGGGAGCCTTGGACGTGGCGGGGCCGGGCCAGCCTGGCTGCCGGGCCTGGGGCGCTCTGCTTGGCCGCTCGGCTCACTTGGCCGCTTGGCTGGCCCTTCGCACCCGCCGTCCAGCCCCCGGCCGGTCCCCTGCTTTTCCAGGTAGACTGGCCAAGGCCCGAGTAACGGCGGGGTGGAGCCGCGGGCCAGGTGGGAGGAGCAGTGAGCCCGGGCTGGTGGGCGCCACACCTGCGCGGGGCCGGGGCGGGAAGGTGCGCACGCGCGTTGCCGGGCTGGAGGGCGGTGGCTCCTGCGACGCTGCGCAGCCGAGCCGGCAGGCTGGGCGCGCTCGCTCGCGGTGGCGTAATCTCTCAGCCTTTCTGCGTCTCCTTTCCTCCGCCTCAGTTTGGGGCGGGTCCGGAGAATGGCTTCGGAGATGGAGTCGTCTCTCGAGGCAAGCTTCACGTCCAGCGGTGCGGTGTCAGGGGCTTCAGTATTTCTGCCTCCGGCTCGCTCCCGTATCTTCAAGATAATCGTGATCGGTGACTCCAATGTGGGCAAGACGTGCCTGACCTACCGCTTCTGCGCCGGCCGCTTCCCGGACCGCACCGAGGCTACTATCGGGGTGGATTTCCGAGAACGAGCGGTGGAGATTGATGGGGAGCGCATCAAGGTGAGCGGATGGGGGGACTGTCATGAAGGAAGGACGCCCTGGGGTGACAGTTCCCAACCCCACTGTGGTTTAATCGCTGGCCGTGTGCGAGGTGTGCGCTCCGTTTTTTCTCAAGCCGATGTAGAGATTGGAATTGGGGATTGGAAGGATTTATCTATAACAAACTTATAAGGCAGTGCTCCGCAAACTTTAGTGCCCCGCGATTTACCTGGGCAACTTGTGTTTTTTTAAAAATGCAGATTCTAATTCGGTACGGAATCAAGTGATGCAGATACAACTAGTCCATGAACCATACCTTGAGAAGCAAGAGTGTAGAAGGTATCCATTGGCAGTGTCTCCTGTGTTGGGAGTCAGTGAAGTAAGACCGAAGGAAAAAATGAAATTTCTCAAGCATGGAAAAGTCGTTTAATAAATATTACTTATTAAACAGGCATCTGAGCACTGCCCTAGACATTGTGGAAGTAAAACCTTGTTGCCCTTGAGGAAGTAGTTAGGTATTCTCTTGCATGCAGTTTTGCCACAGAAGTTTCTGTATGACATTGACTTGTTTAAAAGAATCTATTTTCCTGCAGAAACATTCTATACATGACAGTTCCTACTTGGTTTGCCAAAAACGCATTCTTGGTGCCACCCTCTCCCAGTTCTTAATTCAGACCCCAGGAAAAGCTCTGCCTTCCGTATACTGCATTTACTTATTTGCTTTAAATTAAGATGTTCATCTTTACCTCGGTCCCCCTGGGGGGGGGGGGATAGATTCATGTCTTCATTCTTTCCCTCACATCCTTGAGGCGAGAACAATTTATTTGTTCTCTAACCACTGCCCTTCCCCACCATCCTCAAAGGGGTTTAAATGCTAATGATGTAAAGGAGAAATTGGATTGAAAAGAAATCAGCCTTCTATAGGTCCTTTTGCCTTATAGTTTTTACTTTAATTTTTTATCATCCCATTCAGGTTGCCAGTGGTGGTCCTTTGGGTATACTGTAATAGGGACTTAAGAAAGACCTGTATGCATTACAGAGGAAAAGACCTGGTAAGAAGAGACTGAATATTTTTCATCAGAATTAGGTTGGGCCCAGAAGCCTGGGGGTGTGGAAGATATTGGGGCTTCTGAAGTTTGAGAGAGAGGTTAGTTGGGGAAAAACAGAAGTCCTGGGAGAGAGTGCATGGGCTTTGGAGCCCAACTGGCTCGGCTCAGATCTGAACCTATGAAAGGGTAAGGATGGGCTATGTGTCCTCAGAAGGGTGACCATGTTTGCTCAAGACTGTCCCAGTTTTAAAATGAAGTCCCACATCCCAGGAACCCCCTCAGTCTCAGGCGAACTGGGGTGGTTGGTTACTGTAGTCCTTAGGTTGCTTAATCTTTCAGAGACCATTTTCTCTTCTGAAAAATTGGGATAATGCCATAAGAGATTAGATGAGAACATATAGGAAGCACCTGATTTACAACTGATAAGATGATTCTTCTCTGGTGGCTTTACATCATTGTTCCTCTTTGGCACAGTCATTTTTGTGGCTGTGCATCCAGAGTGTGAAGCACAGATAAAGTAGGGCATATGCAAAAGGTGAGAGAAATTCCCCCAAAAGCATGATTTTAAAGAAATAAGTAGAGGGAATGGAGGCAGGAGAGGAGTTGGGAATTTCCTTCCTTACCTACTTTTGGGTTGCCATTTGTAGTTTAACATCTCAGATGAATCAGGTGCAAATTTAAGCGGTATTTATATTGAAAAAATACAAAACATGTCTAGTGTCTAAGTTGAATACTTAACTACTGGGGTAAGTGCTGGCAGTTATAAGTGAACCAGAACCATAAATGGATGAATCTGGGAGCAATAGTTTATTCTTCTGGTTAAGAGAAGTATGATAGGGTGCCTGGGTGGCTCAGTTGGTTGAGTGTCCAACTTCGGCTCACGGTTCTCACGGTTCTTGCTCATGGTTCGTGAGTTCAAGCCCCACGTGGGGCTCACTGCTGTCAGCACAGAGCTGGTTTTGGATCCTCTGTCCCCCTCTGTCTCTGCCCCTTCCCTGCTCATGCTCTCTCTTTCAAGGGTAAATAAAATAAGCATATTAAAAAAAAAAAGATATTAAAGGAAAAAAAAAGAGGAATAAGGAGAAAACATTTTTTTTTCTGGGATTATTCCTCCTGAGCTTCAGCTTAACCTGTTTGGTTGGTAGAGGCCTGGAAACTGAGTTCCTTTTTCTTCTTTCTAAAGCCTTAGCCATTGACTTGTACCTCCAACTTTTAAGACTTGAAAGAGTTCTTTTGTGGTCAAAAAAGACACTTACAGAAATACTCTTTTTAAAAATGCTTTTGAAATGTTTATTTATTTTTGAGAGAGAGAGAGACAGAGACAGAACATGAGCAGGGGAAGTGCAGAGGGAGGAAGACACAGAATCTGAAGCAGGCTCCAGGCTCTGAGCTGTCAGCACAGAGCCCAATGTGGGGCTCAAACTCACAGACCTTGAGATCATGATCTGAGCTGAAGTCGGACGCCCAACCAACTGAGCTACCTGGGTGCCCCCCTTACAGAAATATCCTGAGATTTCTGTAGTAGAAAAGGATAGGTCTATATTGGACATTTTTTTCCCAAAGCTTTAAGAAACACATTGCAAAGCAGCCATATGTTATATATTGGACATTTTTTAAAAAACTGTTTTAGTGTCTTAAAAAAAACTGAAGTGAATGTAGAATTATGTCATGTGCTGCTCCTGCTTTTTCTTTGTTAATCTGCAATACATCTTAAGTGCTGCTGAAATGTTCATACGTATTTTCTCTTTGGAAAATTTTTAGCCTGATCTGAAATGACATGTCTTTTCATTTTTCATCTTCAATCGAAAGCTGGAAAGCTTTATGTTACTTTACTGATAAAATGATATTCTAGACATTTTTATTTGGTAACAGTGAGATATTGTGTTGAATGTTTCTAATTCCAGACTAGAAATTTTTCAGAGAGTGTGTCTTATGGCAGTGCCCTTTCAGTTAAAATGTTTTGTGAAATGTAACAAAGTCTATATTTGTTAATCTGTTCCTAAGTACTATATATGTATGGTTGGAAGAGCAGAATCTTGTTTGCAGAATTTTTGAAGTTGAATAAAATTATAAACTGAATTCCTTAAATAAAAATACATTTGATTTTTAAATTAAGACTCAACCCTAATCCTTATGCTCCATCCTTGTAATGTGTATCCCCATCATACCTAGCTGTATTCCTTTCATACAAGCATTTTACAGTGAGACACCAGCAGAATCATGAAAGCCTCATGTTGCATTTGGTCCATCTTCTCACTAGGGGGCAGCAGTTTCTATTTGAACATTGGGATGGCTTCCTTTACAGAGGTATGACATTTTGCCATGTTAAATACAAGATGTTAATATTAACTAAAGGAAAATAATCAGTACCTCTCCCCCATTGGTACAACAAACATTTAATGAGTGATTGCATGAAAGATGACATTTTTGTTAGTCACAAGAATTATGATACACTGTAGGGGTTGGCAAATTATGCTTGAGGGCTAGATATGGTCTGCTGCCTATTTTTACGTGGCCTGCAAGCTAAGAATGATTTTTACTTTTTTATTTTATTATTTTTTAAGTTTTTAAATTTATGTTGAGAGCGGGGGAGGGGCAGAGAGGAGAGAGAGAATCCCAAGCAGACTCTGCATTGTTGGCACAGAACCCAGCAGCATGAATCCATGAACCATGAGATCATGACCTGAGCTGAAATCAAGAGTCGGACGCTAACCCCGATTTTTACTTTTTTAAATGGTTGGGGGGAAAAATCATAAGAATATGGTTTTATGACAGGTGAAAATTATGTGAAACTCTGATTTTAGAGTTTGTAAACAAAGTATTGCAACACAGCTATGCTCGTGTCTGCATTTTGGGCTTGCTTTTGTGCTCCAGTGGCAGAGAGGAGTAGTTGTGACAGGGATGTTAGCCCCACACAACCTAAGATACTCACTGTTTTGACCTTTTACAGAAAGAGTTTGCTGACCCTGATATAGTGCATAAATGAATTACTGTCCTAGATTAGGATAAGATTTATGTACCTAAAAAGGTGACCAGCAAAACCAGGTGAAGAATGAGTGCCGAGTTATTGTTTGGGTGTGGGTGGAGGAATTCTTTGTGCTTGGGGTGCTAGGTGCAGTCCCACTGGGGGGGGGGGGGGGGGGGGTGGGTTTTCTGATAAGGACCATTAGCAGGATGCTCCCGTGGGATCAGAGGTTCTTGTGGAAAGGTGGCAAGTGAGAAGAATATGCAGGTATTGGTAGCAACGTTTGTGAAGAGTTTGAAAAAGAAAGCTGAAGAGTCAACTTCAGGTGCTCCTGGGTGGCTCAATCGGGTAAGCATCCAAGTTTGGCTCAGGTCATGATTTCAAAGTTTATGAGTTTGAGCCCCGCATCGGGCTCTGCTGTCAGCATGGAGCCTGCAGATAGATCCTCTGTCTCCCCACCGCCCCCCCCGCCCCCCACTGCCCCTAACCCAAACGCATGCGTGCACACAGACTCTCCCAAAAATTAATAAACATTAAAAAAATTATTTAAAAAAAGAGTCTAGACTTTATTTTGTATGCATGGCAAAAAGTCCAGGTGTTTTAGGAAGATAAATGTGGCAGCAATTGAGAGTGAATCTAGAATAAGATACAGTTTGCCCCCTGACCTGGTTTTCTATCTACATTCTCTCCCTTGGTAGTCTCTCAGTGTCAGCTGTCACATCCGTGGAGATAACTTCCAAATCTTTGTCTAGCCCACCTCTCTCCCTGTCTTACTGTGCATTTCCTACTGTCTTCTAGACATGGCTATTTGGATAATCTCTCCTTCGCCTAGAATGTCTGAAGTGAGTTCATCTTCCCTGGCAAATCTGTTTATCCTGTTTCTCCCCACATCACCTAGGTTGTCATGATGGCATCCCTCCTCATCTTCGCAGCCTTGTCCCCTTTCTTTTGCTCCCTAAATCCAGCTGGGTCTCTACATGCATGATTCTGTAATCCATCCTTTCTTC